TACAAAATTAAGCTTTTAGCACTTTTATTTACAGTTATATTTAGTTTCTCAAATAATGAAACATTATTTTCTAGATGTGGTTGATACTTATTGTTAAATTACACTTATATAATTTGATTATTAAGAAAGCCGCTGGATAGTAATTTCATCTCAAAACAAAATTTATTTCTTAAATGGAATTCAATTCAGATATTGGATTATATTCGAAGCTATTTGTTTTCCTCTGCAAATATTTTGCTCAACAATAATTTACATGTATTATATTTGATTACATTTTTAGAAATATTATACTGTAAAACAACTTGTTTTATATAATATAGTGTTAATTGTAATTTATTTTAAATGCATGCAAATTTTCTAATAATAAACTTTCATACATTATAATATCACAAAAACTGAATGGGTTGAGTTATATACAATAATATTCTTACTGATTATTTAGTCATAGATTTCAGCAAACTGATGTTATTCTTGCTTGTGTCGTAATTATCCTTTTAAATACAGTAGATCCCCCTATAAAACCGTTTCCTATAGTTATGATTCCTATAAAAATTGTGGCAGTATCCGTAAACACGGTAAAAATAACTCCTATAATACGTAAAACGTCATCGGGCAGCCGAACTACTTTCCCGCCGTCCGTAGCGCCACGCTACGGACGTTTAGGCGGATAAATTGAGTTTAGTATCGTCTGTTCATATAATTATATATAAATTAGGTACTGTATATATAATTATATATTAACTTAATTTATTGTAACTTTATTATAATTAAATATATATATTTTTCGCCGTCTAGCGTCACGCTACGGCGAGTTAGGCGACCTATCATTTGTCCAGTACTGTAATTTTATACATTTCTTGTGAAAGAAACATTTCTTATTTAACGGCCATAAAAATTATTTATATCAATAATATCTCCAAAGGTCAACGAAGTTTTCGCAGAAAAATAATATCAGAAATCGCGGCCGCGGTTTGATGCGCTGTTCCGCGACGAAACCAAGCTTTAGCAACGGGCGTAGTCGAACGGTACACACTCGGTAAGCAATCCTACAATTTTTTGTTTATAACGTAGTTTATACGGATTATTTTCAAAAAAATATACGTATTTTGGAAATGTTGAGTCGAATTAGTCTAGAATCGATTAATTTTATGAAAGAAAACCTTTCAAACAGCCGTAGTCCGTAAACTATGATTCCTACAAAATTGATTCATAAAGAACGGAACGTATCTACCGTCTTATAGGGGGATCTACTGTATTCCAATTTCCGTTTTACTTTAACATTCAGTTGAAATCTATGTAACATTTTTAATAATCCTTATTTGTGAAATTTACATACTTTTTGGTGACAACTATTGCAGTTTGTTCATAAGCCAAAATAATTCACATTATTTGCAGAATGTATATTTTCAAGAAAATAATAATACAGAGAATAAAAAAGTTAGTACAGTATTTGATACTGCCAGATGATGAGGTTAACTCAGAAACTTAATTGTCTATTTCATATTATGTCTCTACCTAAAAAGCACCCTTTTATGATAAAGATTTGTTATGCGAGATACATATATCAGAATTTATGAGCATTTATAATTTAACGTAGTTGCCACATATAATGATAATATACAGTTTATTGAAGAAAAGGAAGAAGTGTGCTTGAAAATAATTAGGAAACTACAATGAATTGACTGAATCATTCATACTCTGAGTAATAGACTGATAAAAAACTTTATGCTCGGTTACGTTAATTAAAGCCATTATAAATTAATGATATTGAGATTGATGATGCGAAATAATAAGAATAGTTTACAGCCATTTTGTGACTGCGAGGAAAGGGGTATTTTTTCATTTGTACTGTTAACTCGTATGCACTAAATACAAAAATGAAATTAAAAATTCTTAGCACGTAAGATTTTCGAGTCGTGCTAGTACGAAATCTTAAACACTTGATACATAAACTTAGTTTTCAAATACAGATATGTGGAAACTTAAAAAATTTACGAACTTCAGGGTGGTTTTACCATTTATTAGAAAGGTTGCGGCCGAAGTTTTCCTATGTAAAACGTGAACGCCAAACGTCGAGCGCCTCTATCTTTTAAGCGGCGCTTCGAATGTCACGTTTTAAAAGTAAAAGCTTCGGTCGGAATTTCGCTATTGTCATTTTCTTTGTCTTTGTGATAGTAGTGTGGCACAAAATTACCTTAAATTGTTAGATTGTTTATTAAGTTACGGCAATGCAACACTTGAGCGATCAGCCTAGTGGAGATGCCTTCCAGGAGGTGTTTTTAAGATTAGCTCACTTTTATTCAAGCGTTACAGACGTGGAGAAAATCCGGAAAACTCCACGTGGCTAACTTGTTCTGCCAAAGGGCAGACCCAGGATAAACTCTTTTTTGTGTTCAGGGCACGGAACCGTTAGTCCACTGGTGTGCCACTGGTATATCCCTTAAAGTAACAGAATGACTCAGAGAAAAAAAAACTGTTTCAAGCTAATGTATAAAATATCTTTTTAAGTTCATCTGAAAAAGGTCTTGTTTCCTTCACTGTATAGAAAACTTTGATTAATAAAAACATTTGTGAATTCATTGAATTAAAACGGCGCTGATTTCAAATTTCTTAAACAGATTTTTTGAAAATTAAGCTTAAGGAAGGAACATTCGTTGGACTCTAATTCAGAAAATTACTGCAGAATGCAAAGTTTGCTCAAAAATTGAATGACGTTCAACTAAGTGCAATTTTAACGTAAATATCTTTCTGTATGTGAAGAATCTTTTCGACCATTTATGCAATATGTAATTTAAGAATACTTTTTTAATATTTTAAAATAATTAAAAAAAAAATTTGTTATATTTTTGTGTTGACTTCAACACAGTATCTACAAGATAAATAATTATGTAATTTAATAATATATTAATTATTTTCCGAGAACTTTAGAACATTATTAATTCTTCTTTAAACCCGAAATAAAATTAAAACTGTATTTTATTTACGAAAAATAAAGATTTTAGTTATTTTTCGTAAACACGATTGAAGTACAGTGTTTCGGGGGTAAGATGGAAATCTGGGAGAAATTACTAATTCTTGTTATTTTCCAACGGTTACGTCATATACTGTCATGTCTTTGTATGAAGGATCGTTGGGCCAATATTCAGTTTAAAAAGCTAATGTTTGCTACTGTTACCCAGATTTTCTACATCCGAGAAGAATAAAAGCAAAATAAGTACGAAGTTTTCTGTTGTGAGATGTTTTTAGAGTAATTTTAAAATTAAAAGTTAAACTAGAATTTATTAAAAATTGGGAAAAACAATTAATGTATGATGTAGTTAAGGTTTTAAAGTTTCCATTGTCAGCTACTGCCAATCCCAAGCTGACATCATAAAACACATGAATCCACTAGGCATTTTACGCTGACAAATGGGGAAAATGCCACATTTTTCTTGTAATAACATGCCTATTTTTAATAAAATTTGTTTATTCGTTTTATTGCAAGATAAGCATATAAATTATATAACGACTTCTCAAACGTGTTCCTGGACTGAATAAAGCTTTCTGCTAGCTGTAGAGCACGTTAGAACAGGCGGAAACTTAACAATACTTAAACTGTGCTGTTACACTTACTATAAATTATTTTATACTAAATATGCAATAAATTTCATTTGGATGAGATATTCGAAAATTAGATTTATGCTATTATAGTTGTTTTCTTATCACAATCCTTTAGTAGTCTCACCCGGATACTTGGGGAATGCATAAAATGCCAGACGGTGAAAAAGTCGTCATTGCAAACACAATACATTATTATTTTTGATATACTCCAAGTTTCATTTGAAACATGCTCGAGAATATGACGTTTTCGTTAGAAGCCCCAAAACACAAATTATCATTATAATTTTTTTCATAAACAAAATGTTGGGCATCTTTCTCCGATCCATTTTACTTTTCTTCTTGTTTAAACCGTAGATGAAATAACACTTGTTTTCAAAGAACTTTCAGGTTTGGTACATTGTAAGTTCCGGCACGTATAACAGTTACTTTAATTTATATTTTAAAATCAATTTAATACTAAACACTAAGTCAATGATTCCCAAACATTACTTTTTCATTCAATTTGTTTGATTCGAAGATTTAAACTCCTCTTCTTAATTAATATCTTTCTAATGATAGGGTTTAAAGAAGAACAGTTTTGTGTATGCCATGTCCATTAAAAAAAGTAAAAAATGTCAAAATGTATATGCAATTTCACCAACTATTTTTTGATATTTTATTAAGTTCACTAAGATACAAAGACTTAATCTCAAAAATTGCATTTCACACAAGAAAATACATAAATTTAAAAGATAGTAAGACGTAGCAATGGGTGCGTTTCGTAACAGCTAAAAATTATATCGAACAATATAATATATTTCATGTCACTTGTTAATTAATGTTTGTTTATTACTATTGTTTTTTCGTTTGAATAAATAAGACAATCCTCTTTCTTTAAAAGCGAAAAGGTTTTTAAACGATAACTTCGTAGGTATGTTGTCGTGAGGTCGCGTGGCTTGTGCTTGCTAAAGTCCCCGAATTTTCCTTCAGTTTCTGTTTAAGCTGGCGATTCTCTTTCGAAACCATGTATAATGCGGCCTTTAAATTACACTTAATCCTTTTGTTATTCTTTAGCTTTGGACGAATGAACTTCTGAACAATTTGCATAAAACACCATTAAAAATTAAATGAGCAATCATATAATTTTCAGGAATTATACAACATATTTATTTAAATTTTCGTAAATGAAAATTAACATACATTCGTTGTTTATTAAACTTAGATTATTGAAACATTGAAAAAATATTCAATTAAGTATTTTAATTCATTACATAAAAATTCGAGTTTTAAAAAGTAAGTGGTACTTTAATTTACAAATAATCATAATTATAAATAAATGTTATAGTCGCGTATACATGGTAAGAACATTTGTAACGACCATTCGAAATTTACAGACAAAAATGAACAAAAATAATTCCCACGATTAAAAATTTATCAACCACTCATTACGATTGATGTAGCAATTAGAATGCTAGTCTATACTGATACCAGAGATCCTGACTTGATGGCTAATTCACATGCTTTTTATGCAGAGGACACGTTGCTAAATCAGTTAACTAATTTATTACTCGAAAACATTAATACAAGAAATCTATACAATTAATATAAAACAATAGTGCTATTCGTGTAAATTCTTCTATACTATACGTTATTCAACTAAACGTTGGGACTTTTAGTGGCATTAATTAATGGTTTTGTAATTGGTTTACACGATTTGTCGATTCCTTCAAAAATATCTCGTATCTGAAGTAATATATTGAATACGTTATACAGCGATTGGTATATCTATACAATGAAAATATTTTATTACATATGCATTTTAAAGATTGCTTTATAAATTACTTTTAAACGTTATGAACATCCATATAATGGGCCATTTTAATGTTATGCAAATACCTGAATTGGAAATTTTGTAGAAAAAATAAAAAATCCTCCACAACTTATTCCGATTTCATTTTCTTGAAATTTTTTCATAAAATTCAATGCCTGTAAATAATTTTAAGTGTCAAAATTTAGCGATCTTAATTTTACAACTTGCAATTTCAACTTACCTTGAAATTGACTTCCAACGGAAAAAAAAATCGAATTGAATTTTCAAATTTCTTGAAAAGAATCATAAGCCTGTTCGTAAATTATAATTTAAGTATAATAATCAATTCATACTATTCTAATTACATGGACAATTACTTATTTTACATTTAACTGAACTTAATATTTCAAAGTTAAATTGTTTCCAACTTACCGAAGTGAAGATACGAGAAACCACAAATGATATCGATACAACCAAATATATGCACAGAGTAGAGCAAAGTACAAGAAATATTCGTACGTATGTAGCTGACGTAGTGAATATTGTGTTGTAAAAAGAAAACGATACGATATAAACGCCGATTCCATAAATAACAAAGTAAAAATTACACCATATATCGTTCATTTTATCAATTAATTCGCAGATTTCCAAATGTTTTCGCATTATATCGTTAATTTCATATTTTGCATTTTGTCTTACAGTCAAATACAACTGCCGCGATATTGCATTGAATCTTACGTACATCATTATGCTTGCTACTACAACTACAGTAATGAGTCACATTATTAGGCCTATTTGCAAAATTATCACGTAATGAATACAAACGGAACAGAAAAGTGCTCGTATCCAAATTGTATCGTGTTCTACTGCCTTAAATATGTAAAATGAAAAAACGACTGAACCTATTAATATGTAAATATACGCAGAGCCAAACAAAAAAATCGTGCCTGTTTGCCACTTTTGCATTCTTTCTTTTTCTCCGACATACCCTGAAATGCTTAAATCAAAAGCTAATTTATATTTTGTGCCAGTACGAAGCATTATCAGCGTGGCACTGCCTGCAAGATAAACCATGCTCAAAAGGAAAAAATTGTTCAAACCGCTTCTTGCTATTTTTTCGGCCGGACTACAAAACAATGGATCGTCGTCTGTTCCGAATCTCTGTATTGTTAACGTTATCAACTGTACGATAAATACTAAATGCAGAAATTTTCCATAAATTGTTACCCATTTCTTCTGTTTCTCGCTAAGCTGTTGGTGTTTGCAGCGTGCATAAAATATGTTGCCGAAAAGTGCAGAAATGTTTAGTAAAGGTGAAAACATGCAATAGACGCAATTATCTGCCATTTTACTTAATAAATTGTGTATTGCATGATGTTAAGTGGTCGCTTATTAAAGTGCTGCGGCTTGATCAAATCTGACTGATGATATAGAAAGTATGTGCGTTATATAAAATCGTAAACACTAATTTTATATTGATTTCTTAAGAATTCGTTTTCGACTCAGTATTGTGCATTCTCTAATTGGTTCATACTATTCTATTTTATTGTATACTATTTATGTTGCTATCCATTATAATAATCGTATTCACTTTATAAGTCTTTGACAATAATCGAAATTAAAGTGCAAACTTTTAAAATATATACAATTATTATTTGATAATGGAGTTTATTTAAATTGCTTAAAGTTTTATAAACACTGTACACATTCCGATTTTTAATTCTTAGGACTACAATAGATTATTGCAAATATTCAACCATAAGCACAAGAATGAGCCACAGTGTGTAAGTTTTTTTTTGTCCTGAAACAACTTTGGAACGACATTGTCTACGTAGCTTGAGATTCAATATACTCTTGTATTGGACTGACTTTTGTGAATATTCTCAGATTATAGTTTCTTCTTGCCGTATCGAACAATTTTGTGCTGACAGCATAAAGGCGTTTTGTATTGTTTACCAAAAGAATAAAAATATGCATGAATCTTGTCTGTTAACATTAATCATTTAATTTTAATTACTTGGCTGTTATTCATATCAAAAGTTTATATATGGCGATCGATCAAATGTAATACCAAAAATATTTACATTCTTGAACACTAGGAATCTTCAAACGTGTATAAATGAAAAAGAAAACTGGAGAATCTTTCTGTATGCATTGATATTAGTGTTCTTTTATGTGTGGAGTAATTAGTTTACCCGATTCGATGTTTAATTGTTCATATAAATTTTCTTGAAAGATTTCGAAATTATGCACAAAGGTTTGTGTATTAAGGACATTAATACTATTAAATTTTACTAATTAGATTTCACTTGTGTTTGGAAATAGATGGGTCATATGTCGTGTCTTCAAGGAGATTAGATCAGATGCATATTTTATTTACATTTAATGTGCAATTTTTTTAAAATAAAACACATCTGTAACTTCAAAATTAAGATTTTAGCAGTTTTATTTGCAGTTATGTTTAGTTTCTCAAATAATGAAACATTACTTTAGTTGATACTTATTGTTAAATTACACTTATATAATTTCATTATTAAGAAAGCCTATTGATAGTAATTTCATCTCAAAGCAAAATTTATTTCTTAAATGGAATTAAATGGAGAAATTGGATTATATTTCAAGTTATTTGTTTTCCTCTGCAAATATATTGCTCCAGAATAATTCACAATACGTACTATATTTGATTACTTTTCTAGAAATATTATACCGTATAACAACTTGTTTTATCTCTTAGTTGCCTAGGAGCACCGCCCCCGTACTTTATTTTAATGCCCTTAACGACCAAGGGCCATTTAGGTCATTCATGGTCAGTCAGGTTATATTATTTTAAAAATTTGCCAAAAATCTAGTTATTGTTATATTGATATGAAAAAGATCACATTAATTTACTAATATTTGTAGTTTTAAATATGATATTTATAAATAAAACTAAAAAATAAATTCGAAAGAAAAAAAATTATATATATCAGAACTGACATCTATCTGTGGAAATTTGTAACATTTTTTACAATTTATTATTCTTCAGTTGTGTAGTTCGTTCTTGGCACTAAGCCAGAACGATCTGAAATTTTGTTCTGTACGATTCGACATAACATTTATCAATGTATCATTTTTAGTTTTAAAAATATCACAGATTATATAAATCCTTTGTTTGAAATCAGAACTTCATTGTTCTACAAACCGACATAAAAACTAATATACGATGTTTACTTTATATCGAACAATAATATAAATTTTTGTAATAAAAATATTATTACCAGTAGTAATACATTTGACATTGCTAATATTTTAAATTAAATTTAAAAAAAAAATTAAAAAATATATAAAATCACAAAAATGAGGATAACGATTTAAATCGTTATAATATGTTCACTTATTATGAATAAATAAACTTATTATAGCATAAATAAACTTATTATAGTAATATTATTGCATAAACATGCTGAAAATATAATAAAAAATTATCAAAATATATTGAAATAAAGAAAAAAAATCACAAAAAAAAAATTTTAAGTCAGCGAAAGCCACCTGGACGCAAATATGTGAAACAGACGATATAGAAGACGTTACCGTCAAGTGCTGACATCTATTGTCGAAAAATTTTAAAATTTTCGAATTTTTACAGGGTGTCAACGAATTGACACCCTGGTGAATTTAAGAATTAAATAGGGTGTCGAAGATTTAACACCCTGGTCAACTAAGATAATATAGTGTTAATTGTAATTTATTTTAATCGCATGCAAATTCTCTAATAATAAACTTTTATACATTATAAATAATATCATAAAAATGAATAGGTTGAGTTATATCTATATCTATATCTATATACTAGCTGCAAGGACCCGCTTCGCTGGGTTTTTATTTGTTCGTACATTTGTATGTAATATAGGTTTTTTAATATATATAAAAGACTGTTTTTCTAAGTAATCTAGAATCTAGCTGCAACGACCCGCTTCGCTGGGTTTTTAAAAAGTAACGATAGTGAAGATTAAGATACAGTAGATCCCCCTATAAGACGGTAGATACGTTCCGTTCTTTATGAATCAATTTTGTAGGAATCATAGTTTACGGACTACGGCTGTTTGAAAGGTTTTCTTTCATAAAATTAATCGATTCTAGACTAATTCGATTCAACACTTCCAAAATACGTATATTTTTTTGAAAATAATCCGTATAAACTACGTTATAAACAAAAAATTGTAGGATTACTTACCGAGTGTGTACCGTTCGACTACGCCCGTTGCTAAAGCTTGGTTTCGTCGCGGAACAGCGCATCAAACGGAGGCCGCGATTTCTGATATTATTTTTCTGCGAAAACTTCGTTGACCTTTGGAGATATTATTGATATAAATAATTTTTATGGCCGTTAAATAAGAAATGTTTCTTTCACAAGAAATGTATAAAATTACAGTACTGGACAAATGATAGGTCGCCTAACTCGCCGTAGCGTGACGCTAGACGGCGAAAAATATATATTTAATTATAATAAAGTTACAATAAATTAAGTTAATATATAATTATATATACAGTACCTAATTTATATATAATTAATATATAATTATATGTACAGTACCTAATTTATATATAATTATATGAACAGACGATACTAAACTCAATTTACTNTTTGTTCTGCGTTTTTTTTTTTTAAATAAAACATTGGAGGTTTTCATTTTGCTACAGGACACAACTTTTAACTATAACACGTGTAAACTAATTCACGTTGATTTGTTTACAACTCGTATCAGTAAAGTTGATTGGTCGAATCATTGTAGTCGCAAACCCTAGATGCATTGTAAATAATCCCATCGTGCTTAACGACACACGTAAACAAGTGAATATGACCTACTTCCGCTCGCCTTTCGAGTTCGTTCGATGGGTGTAACTCGTGGGTGTAACTTCGATGGGTGTAAAACGGAAATTGAAATAATTGAAATAAACTTAAAAGCACAATTACGACACAAGCAAGAAGAACATCAGTGTGCTGAAATCTGTGACTAAATAATCAGTAAGAATATTATTATACTAGCTGCAAGGACCCGCTTCGCTGGGTTTTTATTTGTGGGCAAAAGTAACGATAGCGAAGATTAAGATAATTATATTATAGCCAATCTTACTCGTTTTCATAGAATGCAAGAATTAGGTCTTCCGTTTCCAGACTAATTAGAGACCTGGTCCCGATTCTATTTTTGAACGTCTCCTGTTCACGTCCAGTCAAACGAACTATTTTCAACGTTTCTGGAACGTTTACAATCGTTTTATAATCGAACTAATATTCGAATTTTATGTTCGA